ATCACCACTGCACCCACTCCCCAGTGTTCAGGCGAAAATCACCACTGCACCCACTCCCCAGTGATCAGGCGAAAATCACCACTGCACCCACTCCCCAGTGTTCAGGCGAAAACAGCTCTGCCCTGTGATGCCTTTCTCGTTACGCTGGATGCTGGTCCGTCCTCTTTCATGGGGGGTCTCCCTCCAGAGTCGAGCTTTGACTGCGGTGCCATCTGGATGCACTTCTGCCCGGTGCAAAGCAACATGTGGAACTGCTTTTGGGGAACGGAAGGTTCCCAGGCTGGTCCTGAGCGTGAGACCTCATCTGCTGCAGCCATCAGTTCGGTTTGATTGATGGCAACCCGCAGCTTCCCTCTGGACTCTCCCTTCATATTTTCCTGAGATGCTGTTAGTCGCGGCTTTGGAAGTGCAACTCAGCGGCCGATTCCTCTCGGCCTCATGTAGCTCCCGTGACAAGCGATGTCAAGATGTCGGCTGTTAAAGGCAAAGGCTGGAACTGAGACCCTCTGTTTTTTTTGTGTTGATTAGCTTAGCAGATTCTGTTATCTGAAGCAATTTGCATAACTTTCTTATTGTGTATTTTATTGCTTTTTATTGTAAAAAGTCCGCTGTACTGAATTTGAGCAACGTTTTTGTTAAAAGTAATTTTTTTCACCATAAAACCATCTCACAGCTGTAGCGCCAAATACACACCAGAAAGCATAAAGATATTTTCAAACTTCTGCCTGATTGTGACTGAAAACTGCAGCTGTTTCACCTGATAACCAGACAGACCCCAGGGAATGGATGCCTGTATAATGCACATTTTCACCTCATGAGTCTCAGTGTGGGAGGATTTCAGCTCAGGTTTACCGTCATAGGCACCAGCCAGTCTAGAAGTGGAAAAGGATAGAGAATTTTTCATTGCAAACTTGAGGGTGAACAGACAGGGAAAGAACCACCAGGACAAATCAAACCCCTTGTTTAGTGTAAGCACCAATCATGTAGTCAGCATTTCTCCAAATGAAAATGGAGGCTGGTATATTCCTACTCTCTCCTCCAGCTGATGTTCTTATTACTGTCATTGATATTATTTACAAAAATGCACAAATAATTCCCTACAGTTGTGTACAAAAAGAGTTTAGGTCTTTCTGGCAGAGCAATTGCAAAATTCCACATTGCTTCATGATGGTTTCCGACAGAGTAAACCATTTGATTGCAATGTGTTTTTTTCATAACCTACAAAGAACGCCTTGGACGGTAAGCAGAAACTAGTCTTGGGCTAAGATAAATGTGTTTCAAAGAAAAAGGATTGAGAATTTCATCATTTTACGATTTCAATGTCAAAACAGTCCTAATTGTCCAGCATTTCTGCCATTGCTTTGGGTAAAATGCTTGGACCACATGTCTACTTAATGGGCTTGATTAATTCAAAATGTTCTATCGATATTGTATGCTTGCAACTAAACACAAGCCTGTAAAAGAAAAAAAAAAGCTGCTGACTTAGCTAAAAAAGTCTTATAAAAATAAGTTCTGGGATAAACAGGATATTGTAACATGCCTTCATAACGTATTATACCCAGTGTTGCAGTTAATCCAGTTAATTTTCTTTTTTGGCACAGAGATGTGAGGAAATCTGCTCATTTACACTGATTTGAAACTTTTCTTTCATGTTCATTTAAGTAGCATTTTTCCTGGTGATTTTTGCCTGCTTTCTGTTACACTGATGTTGCGTAGTCAACCTCTTTTGTTGTACTTAGATCTCCCACCCATCCCGTATATTATGGGATGCCATATTGAACCAGGGCGGGATGTGATTTCTCCTGTACTTTCATACAATCACTAAGTCAGGGGTCCCAAACAGGATCTGAAGACATTAGAGGGCCATCAAACTGAGATCATGGTTGTTAAAACATCTGAGCTAATTCGTAACTTCAAGTGTGGCTGTGAAATACAATATAACCCCCCCTCCAAGGCATACTTGACAAATTGCAGTATTCAGTATTGCTGTGGACCCGGGGGTGGGCGGGCATGGAGCAGTGCCGTAACCTCAGGTATACTCTTATCCTGTGTCACACCGTAGCCGACTTATAATCGTAGTTAAAAGTCACTGTCCTAACTAAAAGGACCCTTTTATTTATTTGGGGGGGGGGGGGGGGGCTGGAACAAAAAGGAAATGAGGAACCTACGTGTTTCATAAGCTCATAAAAGCCAGGTCTGAGATACAGATACCTAACTAATCTATAGTTTCCCCAGGTTCTGCTTAGTAAATAAATAATCTATATTTCATTTTTACTACTTTGATGTGGGGTGACAACAGCGCTGGCCACATATTTACCACCCCTTAGATTTGACCGGGGGTAGTTTATTTTTTAACCAGTAGGCTGGAAAGATAAGACCCCCAAGATAAACATCAAAGCACAAGGATAAGGCAGAAAAGGTGATTAAAATGCAGTCGTTTGGGATGAAAACTTTCTGCTTAGCTTTAAACAAAATAAGTCTCAATGTCTAGCAGATTTTTCCTGTAGCTAATGCTATCGCCAACCATGATTTCTTGGTGCAGGCCGGTGCTGTACGAATGCTGCCCTGGATACATGAAGCTGGATGGGATGCGTGGATGCCCTGCAGGTGGGTTGTGCTCTGTCACACTGCGGGAGATGTGCACACATATGTTTTCGTAACAGCTATGCCAAAAATATTAAGGTCTTCCTTTAAATATTCAGAATAGAAGAAAGTCACCGGGACTTGGATTCCTACAGACTTTTGTACTGTATCTCTGTGGACAATGTGGTGGCTTCTTCTCTTCCAGTGGCCCCCATTGACCACGTGTACGGCACACTGGGCCTTGTGGGAGCCCGCACCACACAGAGGTACTCCGATAGCTCCAAGTTGAGGGAGGAGATTGAGGGACCTGGATCATTTACCATGTTTGCTCCCAGCAATGAAGCTTGGGATCTCTTAGACCCTGTAAGTCAGCCAACATGTCGCTGCGCGACTCTCAGAGGGATTGAAATGGCTCTTCACCCAAATGTTCATGCGACTTCATTTTAAATACAAGAACTTGGTCCCCTTTCTTTTGTTAACAGAACATAAGGAGTGCCCTGGAGGACAATGTGAATATTGAACTCTACAACGCTCTCCATTATCACATGGCCAACAAACGTCTTCTGACCAAAGACCTGAGGAACGGCATGAAGATCACCTCCATGTACAACGATCTTGAGCTTATCATCAACCACTACCCCAATGGGGTGCGTTTTAAAATCCAATGAGTGCTCAGACCAGTGCAGAATGTTGAGAATCAATCCCTTTGACCTTACAGCAGTGTTGGATTTAAGACAATGTGTGTTACAACCACAGGTCGTCACGGTAAACTGCGCCAGGATTATTCATGGAAACCAGGTGGCCACCAATGGAGTAGTGCATGTCATCGATCGTGTCATCACGAGCGTGGGCAACACCATCCAAGACATCATCGAAGTTGACCCTGATCTCAGCGCCTTAAGCGTAAGCATCAGTGTACAGGGAACAGATTCCAGTTAGGAATCATAAGTGATGTTAGTTAAAACAATGAGTGATGAATTACATATGGTGATATTAATTAAATGTTGCATTGAAATACCTGGAGAACTTCAAGCAAACCATATAAAAAGGCGTCAGGACAAAAGTTTGGTGTTTTTTTTTTTAATTAAAGACAGCAGCCACGGCGTCTGGCCTGCTGGACAAACTGGGCGAGCCTGGCCACTTCACCCTGTTCGCACCCACTGATGAGGCTTTCAGCAAGCTGGACCGGGAGGTGTTGGAGAGAATCATGGGAAACAGAGGTGCCCTCCAAGGTAAAGCCCACGCAGGGAGCTTCATCCAGCTTTGGCCAAAAGAATCTGCTCTCGGGTCACACTGGACTCACTTCTGAGGAATTATACACATACATATATTCTAACCAGCCTCTACTCACTTTCAGTAACACAGCAATTCCACAGCTACAGCTTGCTGGCTGACTTTCAAGGCACAGCAGTGAGACACGCTGACTAATCATTAGCAAATGCAAGCAAGTTATCTATCCCATGCAAACAGGGCTTCTCAAGAGCAAATTATCCACTTCTGAATTCTCAGACAGTGAGCAAACACCATGTCCCAACCACAGCTACTGGACAACTACGTTAGTGATCGTTTGCTAGCATCTTCTAAATGACTTCTCATGGAGTCATTTATTGGATGATTTTTAATTCTTTAAAAACCAGACATTGTGGACTATTATCACATACCTCATCATCATTTTTGTTTTATACCTATTTTAATTTTTCATTTTAGTCAACTTTATGCGTAGTACAGATGTACTGTAGTATTAATGTAGTAACCTTGCATTAATAAAATACACAGTTTGCTGTTTCTGAGAAGTGAACAAAGGATAATGGTGAAGAAAACTAGAACATCCTAAAGGCGACCAAACAGCTGACTTTACCTCTAGTACACTGGGTTACAGTACACTGCAGCACAGTACAGTACAGGACAGTACAGTGAGTACAGCACATTTTACTGTATTTGCCTCTCCCTGCCGTCCCCTGGAGGATGGGCTCCCCCTTTGAGTCTGGTCCCTCCC